CCCCGAAACCAAAGTTTCTCAGCGGATTTGGGCTGTACTCAGCAAGCGCAGTACAGACCCGAAGTCAGGAAAAAAAAAAAAATCAGAGGAAGACTGTTTTTTGAGCCGTCGGCTACCGCCGATCGGTCGGTACAATACGGTCGGCGGGGATGCAACCCTGCTTTTGAATATTTTTTACTGACGACTGTAAGTTGGTCGGGACACTTCTGGAGGAGCCTTGTCCTCGAACCGGTGTCTTCTCTTTTGGTTTGCTGGTAGCTAGGATATTGTTCACCCGAGTAAGTTTTTTGTGTGGTACTGGCCTCGTTTCATTTGCGAGGTAGCCCGACGGTACTGTAGCTTGCCGGATGCCCTGGTCAACCCCGTGAACTATGACTTGGGAATAGTGTGCGTGGAACTATAAGTAGATCTTTGTAGTAAGCAGTCGACCTCTTGGGTCGATCGCATGGCAACTATCATTGCTACCAGTAGTAATGGTAGGAGCCTACGGACGTGGGTTTGCGGAATAATGGCGGTTTTCTTGGGTTTGTCGGATTGTTTCGGAGGGAACCTGTTGGTTGAGTTGTGACTATATGATATTGCCACTTTGTGGATTTTCTACTTTGTGACGCGTATACTTGTGTGCATTTTCTTATCCATATCCATTGGACTGCACGTGTGAACTTACCTGGGGTCACCTTGTCGTGCTAGAGGGAGCACGTAATTGCCGTTTTGTCATTGTCTTTCTTCGTTGGTTCGTGTTTCCCACTTTGATACGGTGTTTCGTGACGGATGTAACCGTCGTATCTCGGTCTTGCCGATTGAGCCATCGGCGTCTCCGGTAGGGCACGGCGTGCTGTGTCTGGGCAACATCCTGCGTCGAACGGAGTGATGTCTTCTCGGGACCAGCAGGAGCGAGGTGATCATGACTGTGAGAGAGGTGATCGTGCCCGGGAAACAAGAGATGATGGCGGTGAGCGGAGGCCGTATAGGCCTCCCACCTGCTTTGCTTGCCATGAAACGGGCCACTATCCCAATCAGTGCCCAAACAGGAGCCGACGCTACCACAGTGCGCGACCTTCTTCATCCTCGGACTCTAGGCGATCTCGGTCTCCGCGAGGTTATGACCATGGAAGGAGGGAGATACCTCAGCAATTGGACCCGGAGCTGAGAAGTACCATTTCTAAGTTGGGGAAAAGCATATCTGTGATGGAAGAGCACTATGCAGTTGAGCGGGAGAAGAAGGAGATCAAGCAGAGAAGGAAATTGGAGAAAGAGGAGTCTGAACGACGCGCTGAGGAGGAACGGGCTAGGAAGGAGGAGGAAAGGGTCCATGCTAAGAAGAAGGCGCTGAAGATAAAACAGAAGAAGACACTTGAAGCTGAAGCACGTGCGATGATGCAAAAGGACCTGAATATCCAACTTGCTATCCAAGCTGGTGAGCTGGAAGACCGTTTGGTGGACAGGATGTACGAAGTGGTTGCGCCAGTGCTCCCCTCCACTCGGGAACGGGGGAAGAAGCAGGTCACTTATGCATCAGGGTCGAACGACTCGGCATCCGATAAGAGTGAAGAAAGTGACACTAGCGTCACTCAAGAACTTAGTGCACAAGCTCAGCGTCTGTGCATCACCGAGAAACGGAAGAGAGGTCCCGAGCCGGTTTTCGGCGAACCAAGTCCGCCGATGGAGCTGCCTGCAAAGCGAACCCCCAAGAGGGGGATATTAAAACCAGTCAAACTCACGGGTCGTCTGACCCGGTCCAAGTCCAAGAAGGCTGGTGGCGGACGTACCCCTACCTCGACCAAGAAGAAGATTGCTACACCGCTGTCGAAGCGCAAAATGCCTACACGTTGTACACCTACTGCTAGAGTGACGTCGGCAACTAAGGGGGTGTTGGCTCGACTGCGCTACCGAAATGATGTTCTGAAGGAACTCAAGGCTCTTGATGCTGCTGAATTGCAGGGTATCTGCCGGAAGGAAGGCCTGCACTACAACAAGAAGATTGATGTCATTTTTGACATAGCTGATCATCGTACGGAGATAGCTTTCGCCAGTACTGCCACCAAAAACGCTGAAGTCATTCATATTGCTGCCTCCGATGATGTTTGCGATGATGCCGAGGCTGAGCCGACTACTCACGTGTGACTCGTTTTATCTGTACAACAGCTATGGAAGCTTTGTCGTCTTCTCACTCACGAATGATGTGAGTCTCTGATTGTTAATAAGTCCGTTGAGATTGTCCTTCGATTAGGTTTTTTGCTGTTAGTCGTGCAAGGTCAGATCCGATGGGCCAGTAAATGCATTCCGAGATGGCTGGAGTTGTATGATCGGCATGGGTTGGATTTTCTTGGTCTTACGTCTTGTGATATATGGGCATTTCACCTTTTTGTAAATTGTTGTATGTCGGTAAGACTACTAGGGACGTAGACACTGGCTGGAAGGAGCACATCTATTGTTCCAAGAATTGTACTCGTTCGCACTCTCACAGGTGGTTGACGTCCTTTGGCATTGGTAACTATCTATTGTTGCCCGTTGACATCCCGGTTGGTACCGACCTCACAGTCCTCGAAGGTACTTATATTAAGCTATGGTCACCCTTCCTTCACACGTCTGGATGAAAGAAACAGAATCGCGCATCGAAGCCTAAGTTGGGGAGGAAGGAACGTGTCAGGGTAAAGGAGGGATTCTCGGCCATTGCACCTACGTGGAAACCAATTCATTTTCGGCGTTCTACGTCCGCAGATTGGTGTGTAGACAAAAGTTGCTTTCCTTGACAATGTTTTAAAATCAGGGAATAGCGGTGTGAATTTTTACACACAGGATGATAATATTTGGGAACCGTGTTGGCGTAGGTTGATCAAGACCTTTGGGAAGACAAAAGTTGTAACTAATTCGGGGACTGCTTGCCTCAAGGTATGCAAGCTTCTTTCGCAGTCGGGGGGACTTTGTTTGATTTTGCATGTTTGTAAACGGGCTTCTAAGTGTGGCTTTTTCAAAAAGATTCTCATCAGTATTCTACGTAATCCTAGGCACTTTAGGCAGGTTTCTGTTTTCCATTCTTGGGGGATGCGTTCTATGCTGCGACTGTATTGTGCCATTAAGGATTTTTCTGGCAAGTCTACCCGGAAATACCTACGGAGGATTGTCTCTCGGGGTTTTCGGGAGCGATTTGGATTGAGCCTAAGTGCGGATCTTGTTTTTCGTATTTGCTATGATGATCACATTAAGATCGCTGAAGTCTGGAAGGTGGTTAATGATGCCTTGATGCATTTGGACTTACCTTTGTGTTTTTTGCTCAGAGCTCGTAGGAAAATTCGGATAGTAGGGACCAAGAATCCCTCTGTCGCCGATATTTTGCACAATATGCATAGTCTGTCGACACACTCTGTGCTCACATGCGCCTGTGCTCACTTGCACCTGTGCTGGTGTTTCTTTTCCTCGATCTGACAGACATGTATTGTTCCGACTCAGCGAACTGGATGATATTAATCCTCTGATTTGCAATGCGAAAAATGTGCCACGTGCACGATTACCCGATCGCTTGGCATCCTTTCATAAGGAGTTATCTGCTGGTTTCACGAATTTGATTAATTGGAATGGCACGTCACCTGTTTTGAGTTCGGAAGTGCTATCGAATTGTTTCTCTGTACCGACTAGCGATAGTCGCTGTTTGTCTCTGGAGGAGGTTCAATGATTTTGTGCTTACTACCGTTGACCATAATCCGGGGGAAATGGTGGTAATGTGCCCTGCAGTCTATTATGAAGCCATGCTTAACAATTTTGTGTTCAATCTGGGATATCGAATTATACCCCACCCCGAAAAGTGTGGTGTTGCTTGAACTCCGCGAGGATGTTAATGCTGCAGGCTTGAGGAATTTTGTGCATTGGGACGTTAAAGTGAAATGTGGATCGAGGTACCTTTTGCCTAAGCATAAGGACCTTTGTCGTTTCCGACCGATTTGCCCTTCGTTTGATGAGCCTATGGTCTGCACTGGCCGGGTGGTGGCTAAAGCCCTGAATCATCTGCTTGGGATGATCCCTAAGCAGTGACACTTCAATTTGTCAGCGGTATCTATGCTGAACAAGCGGCTTGAAGCCGGTAATCGAAGGTTTCTTCGTTTGGATAACGAGAGAACAATATTTTTTTACTCCTTTGACATCAAGGAGATGTTCAACAAATTGCCTCATGCTGACATCCGGCGCGCTGTTGATTGGCTCATTGAGTACCACAGGGATAAAGGGAGATCTCTCGTACAAATTAATCCACGTGGCAAGGGTGCCACTTTTGGATTATCCACGGGTGGGGACCACTGGCGAAAGTTGGATCTTGAGGATGTTCACACTTTCGTGAATCTTGAACTTGGGCACACGTATTTTCGAGCTACGGGTGTGTTGCTTCAGCAGGTTATGGGAATACCCATGGGGAAGAGCACTAGACCGCCCCTTGCCTGTATTATGTGCGCGTTTGTCGAGTACCGTTTCACTTGTAGCTTAGGAAGGACCGTACACTGCATTTTCGCCTCTCGCTTGATTGATGATGTTATGCTTGTCATTTCACTACCCACCGGGACGAATGGTTCTGCGATTTTGTCAGCTTTCGAGGAATGTTATCCCTCGAATCTGGTCCTGAAGTGGACTGATGATGGCTCTGGGCTGTTTGACGTCTTAGGCTGTCAAATCCGCGTGCGGCAGACGTATCCGTACATGGGTTGTGTCCAGATGTTGAGGAACGACGACTGTATGTGGACCTCTGATAAGCTGAGCATTCAGAATGGATAGCCTTACCTATCATGAGGATGTAAGAGGCAAAAAAGCGCCATTATTGGGAGCTATTTGCACCGGATCGATATGAATACCTCGATTCGATCCGAGATCCCTAATCAAGTAACGACACTTCGAAGGGAACTGTCCCTCAAAGACTTCCCTGACTCTTTCTTTCAGAGAGTCTTGAAGAGTTTTGTGGTCAGAAGGGATGCAATCTAGAGGCTTACTGTCAACCTTTTGTACTAATTGCTTTGATTGTTCTGATAGGCTTCCTTGACTTAGAATGGCTGCAAGCTTTTGGACTTTGTAGGACTGTTTCCCTGTGCATGGTTCAAGTATGCAGACAGGGTCATGCCATTTGTTTTTCTATTCTTTTCCTTGGAGGCTCGATTTGTCAAGCATTCGGATAGGGTTCGCTTTACGTTTTTTGTGGTTTGAACCTTTGATTTTTTTGGTATTCGGATAGGGATTGGATTTCGTAGGTTTTGGCGGTTCGAACCGTGGATCTTTTGGTACCGCTTTCTGTTTCTTTTCTTTTTTTTGTCTGTTGACTGGTATTTTGTCTTTTGGCGTTTTTTTACTTGCGACTGTAAGTTGGTTGGGACACTTTTGCAGGAGCCTTGTCCTCGAACCGGTGTCTTCTCGTTTGGTTTGCTGGTAGCTAGGATATCGTTCACACGAGTAAGTTTTTTGTGCAGTACTGGCCTCGTTTCATTTATGAGGTAGCCAACGGTACTGTAGCTTGATGGATACCCTAGTCAACCCCGTGAACTATGACTTGGGAATAGTGTGCGTGGAACTACAAGTAGATCTTTGTAGTAAGCAGTCGACCTATTGGGTCGGCCGCATGGCAACTATCATTGCTACCGGAAGTAATGGTAGGAGCCTGGAGACGTGGGTTTGCGGAATGATGGCGGTTTTCTTAGGTTTGTCGGATTGTTTCGGAGGGGACCTTTTGGTTGAGTTGTGACAATATGATATTGCCACTTTGTGGATTTTCTATTTTGTCACGTGTGTACTTGTGTGCGTTTCCTTATCCATATCCATATCCATGCTCCCCACGAATAAATTGGAGCACGTCTTAAAAAAAAAAAAAAAAAAAAAAAAAAAAGGTAGTGTGTGAGGCGAAATTGAGAGAAGAACATAGCTTTAAACCACTAGTACCTTTTATTTTTCGGACCTTTCAGGAGGCCAAAACGAAATAACGGTTGCCGATCAGATTCATCAACGGCAGCCGTTGTCGGGCTCAGCCTCCTGAAAGTTTGGGAGCTGGCAAGAACTTGTCGAAAATAGGCTCGGAGGTAGAAGGTTACACAACTTGAAAGTGTTATAATAAAGGAAACTGTCTTCTTTTTTTTTTTTTCTTCCTGCTTAGCGTTATCATTCTTGTAATAATCTACGTGGAGGACAGGAATAGCCTCTATCTATGTAGTCTCACTAATTTGGTAAGGATGGCCTCTATTGACACTGTTTTTGCATAATCGGGGTTGGGGCATGTGGATGGGTTAGCTTGGGCCCCGGTAAGCCTTAGGTGTCTTTTTTTTTTTTTTTTTTTTTGGGTTAAATAGGTAGGTGGTTTTTCATATTGTAAATGTGCCAAGCAGTGTGAAAAGTTTGCTTTGGTTCGTTTAATTTTTCGATTTTGCCTTTCTTGATTACAGGATTTTGTCACTTTTTTCCACGGATGGGCACTACCGTCTTCACCCAAATCGGACTCCCGGTCATTATCACTGTATCTGGACCGCAACTTGGCCCAAATGCAGCTATAATGACCGGGCGTTCTATTCGGGGGAAGGCGGTAGGTCAGTTCCGCGCGGAGATAAAGTCCGCTATGATACCCGAGTCAAATGGGTCATGGATAGGGACGTCTCGGAAAAGAGGAAAGGCTTGAATAGCCTTCAATCATACTGAAGATTAGGAGTTTCGCTCCGGCATGTGGGTGAGGGACCACTTGTAGCGACCACGATTTTTTATGTGAGGATATATTTTATGACCTGATGTATGGGTACGTAAGTATTGACATAGTCTGCTTTTATAGTTGGCTCTACTATATCGAATTCACAGAAGCTACATACTCAGTACACAAGCAAAGACTCTGAGTTAACTGGCCGTCCGGCCCACAAAGGACGCTCGACTTGGCTTGGGTCGCCCGGCAATCAAGGGACTTTCAAAAAAGAAAACCGACAGTTGTCTAAGCAGAGGGAGGTGACTTTGAGGCCTGTGGCTGGAAGTAAAAACTGGGATAGACGAAATCAAACTCATATGGGGGCGGGAGAGAGAACTAGGAATTGCAGTAGGGTTCCGGCGCCAATAGACATGGTGAAGAGGTTCCCCCCTGCCACCCGCGTTACCAAAAGCTATGTGCATTGCAACCTGCACGGTCAATCCTCTGGACTCCATAGTCATCAATGCTGGCAGGCGTTCTTTTTCCTGATGTTCACATTCATCATCCTGTATAAGGGACGCTGGACCCGTTTTCTAGCAGGTGACGCTCCCCACCAATAGATGGAGCCTCCCCTCTGGGTGCTAGTGGTGACTGCTCTTACCA